TTCCAAGCTACTGCCGGATCTTCCGCAATCTAATCAACAATAAATCAACCCAGGGTAAATTGCAATCGAAACCTAACTAAGGAGCTAGGGGGATTCATTCCCGAGTGACTCTTTCCTGCTTAAGAAAACTGAATAAATTCCTGCTTTATTTCTGCTTTTAGTTTAAACAACAATCACTTACTTTAGTTGGCTAGATAACAGAGAATCTAGAGCCCGGGTTGATAATATAACTTGCCTGTTACTGCATTCCCGGTCTGCGATTACACTTGGTCGCAGATTGGTGTTGTGTTTTGGCGTGTCAACTACTATCTAATAGAATTGGAAGTTTGGTGAGGGGCTTAACCTAATTTACTCCTAAAGGCAAAATAAACAACCAACCAAATGGTTGGGATGTCGCTAGTGATGAATCCTCCTAGCTATGGTTGTCAAGTAGGTTTAATGGAATGTGGTGAGTGAGCTCGTTTTCGTGGGCTTTCATGGTTATCCACACACCTCCGAGTATGCCTCCCCTAAACCCATATATAGTCACCTCGATTTAGGCTATCTTATTTGGGGCATTAAGATCGTAGCTCCTTTCAATGGATACTATCCACCGTCACACCGAGGTTTTATCTCGGGTTATATCTAGGAAGGCATTCCTATCTAAATGAGTACCACTCATCCATAGGATCCTATTCATACATCTAACCTTAATTTGCTTGATGGCGCATACCCGTCTAACTCTAAAACTCCAAATCCAACGTAGAAGCGTAAAGTAGGCTAGTAGAGAAGATTAGGGCAACTTACCAAAACACAATCCCTAGGAAAGTATGAAAATCAGCTAGATAAACACATCCATTCATAACCCATTCATACACAACCAATAAACTAGGGTTCATCTTCCCTACACAACCATTAGAGATTCAAGTCATTAGAGAGAGAAAGAAAACACAAACTATAAGAGGGTAGTGATGGAATTAAACATTTTCTCCTTGCTCGCACCTTCTTCTTGCTCCTTGGGTTGGTTGGATCTTTAATGAAGCTATTCCAAGGTGTTTCCATCTCTAAAACACTACAAAACCCTAACTTTCTTACTCTAGGGTGGCTCTCCCTTTACTCTCCAGCACCTCCTTTATTTATAAGCACTAGAAATCTCGGGCAAGTTCGCGGCCTGGAGACAGAAGATCACGACCGCGAACTTTCATGTCACGGGCGTGATCGTTTTTCCTTAGTCTTGACCAACGTTGCGCACAAAGAGAGTGAGGAAACTCTATGTTCTCCCAGCGATGAATCCTTCCAGAGTTCATGGTCAGAACGATCCATTTCGCGGTCGGGATCTTTTGATCTTGGCCCGCGATCTTCTGGCAATCTTAGTGGTCCATCTTCTCGGTCGGGAACTTGAGCCCTTCAGCTGCGATCTTTGCACTATCTGGTCTACTTCTTGTTTTTACACATTCTTGCCCATTTTCTCTCCATTGTTGTTCCTATGCTTCCCAACCGTGCCCGGATGAACTCCAATTGATTCCTGATCAATCCGAAATGCATGCAAGACCTGGAATATTATCACAAACACTTGGCAAATCATAAAATATGACACATTGGGGTCGATTCCCTTATGAAAACCTTCATATCATGAATACCTATGCAATAATGCATGTTTTGCAAATAGGAATGAGAATGAACATAAATAACTTGATATGTGACATAGGCACAGGTGAATTAGCATGAAAATGCCTTGAGAATAGTGACTAAATAACACCTATTTTAGGTGTTATCAGTCTGCCTTTTATGTTTCTCGCATCCCCGATTGTCCTCATAATTGAAGGGCTGCTCCGTGATTGGTTCTAGAGGTTGCATTGGGTAAATTGGTGCCCAAGTAGATCGGGCTTGATCTCTTAATGTTCTGGTGCATTCGTGCAATCTAAGTCGGGTACTGATGTTTGGTTGCTGAGCGTGTTGCTCCCTCGTTACCTCTTCCCATTGATGGGCTGGTTTTCTAACAGGGATTACACCCACAAGTAGTTCTACGGGAGGTGGTAGTTCAGCTAGAAGCGGTGTGCACTCTCTTGGACGTGCCTTATGCATCAATGGTCTAGCCTCATGAAGTTATTGTTGCACCAATTTAATCCGATTTTGCAAGCCATTGGCTTCATCTAAGACTAGATGAGAGTTATCAATCTCCTTTTTGTGAGATAATTCAGTGACATAACCAAATTCTCCAAAGATTTTATCTAGCAGGATTAGCCCAGATACTACGTTCATACAAAGTGTTGACTATACAAAATGCATCTTGAATCATTCAAAGTGCAAAAATGTGTGCAAGATGGTTGGACACCCCATGATCAAGGCATTCAACAATTATTCACTAGTAGCGATAATAAGTTTCATGGATTGATTCTGGCTCGCCTTGTTTGAACTCCTGAATGCAGGAGTGCCACTCATCCATGATTATGACCATGAATGGTTTAGATACGGGAACAAAATAGAGATTAAGCAGTGCAACATGACTGTCAGGTTTTACCCAAAAATGTGCCCCAGCCGCCGATATTCAAAGCAAATTGGTGCTTGGGTCGACTATTTCAGACCTTTTGGGTTCTGCCCCAGATCACAACACACACACAAAACATAAACAAGGAGTCAAAGTAAGAGAAAGAAAAGCGAAAAAGAAAAGAAAAGGGGAGAGATAGAACCTGTACGTTATTCCTTTTCTGACATTTGTGAGACTTCCCGGCAACAGCGCCAAAAGTTGATTGTGGATTGTAGCACCAACGAAATTTACTTGGAAAGGAAATCTATACTAGTTGGGCGAGTGAGGACGCATGGGAGAGAGGTGTTGGATAGGTAAAGCTTCCCCTATATTTTATATATGCGTTCCCTCGGTAATGGCAACATATGAATTGGTGATTTCTTATGCTATTTAATCCCACTTTAATCCGTATTGCGGATCAATGGGAGATAAGGACCCCTACGAATTTCTTCCTTGAGGTGTCACATGATGACACTCTATTTATAGTGTTCATCACTCCCATATTTGATACATTTCCCCCCTTCTATCAATGCATCTTTAGTACTTGCTCATCTATTTCATATCTAAATCATAACTAACTGGTCAATGGGACTTTGATAGACCTAGCTTGTATTTTGTTATTATTTTTTGCCTTCTCGATGTGTTTTTATGCTTTTCAAGGTGAAACAAAACCTAGGAGGATATGGATCAAGCATTAGATGATTCTGGAGGACAAAAGGAGCTAACAAGAGAAGAATATGTAGTTTTCATTTAAGAGATGAGGTCTAATGATAGAGAAGCCTACTAATAACCACAAGAATAGCCCAAGGAGAGCGCAATAGAAAAAGACTCGGCCCAAACCGAAGCAAGAACCAATGGTGATGCAGTAATGGGTTCGGTCCAACCACTGCCCAAGCAGACATGGTCAACCATAGAGAAATGTTTAGGAGAGGTTGCTTATGGGCCAGGGAGTCCAGTCCACAAAGAAAAACAGTGGTAGTCTCAGCCGCCACCCAGTCGCTACTATTGGGCACAAGCCCAATTGAGGTCCAAAAGGCCGTGCATAGACCACAATTTAGAGAGATCGTATCCTAATCCGGTTAGGAAGGTTTTGGCTGAGTTATATCACTATAAATATGGAGCTAAGCTCATTAGTTCCATAGGCTGCACAATTTTATTCAAAACTTTTGTAGACACTCTATTAGAGTGAGATCTTAGCATTTGTCGGAGAGGTTAGAGAGAAATTGGCTTTTACTTGTCATCCATCTAATCAGAAGAAGCCTTACATGCAGCTACTACTTCAGGATAACTTCTAGACGCCATCTTGACGAAGTAAGCACTTCCCAAAATCAGCGGCCATGATATCGATTCTCACTTTGGACTACGAAAATGGGTATAATTTCTGGGCCCAAGTTTCCTCTCGAATCTTTACTCTAGAATCTGAGTCCCGATATTCTCGAGCCCTAAGTGGTCCACTCGCCTACTTTGACCTAAAAATGCACAGAACGCTACCAAAACCGTAAATGGATAACAAAAGCAATTCCAAATACACTTTCAACATTCGCATAGCAAGTCCAAGGTATTATGATGCTAAAGATGGAAAAATCAATGTACTTTCAATCATAATACGCGGGTCGAAAAAAAGTATGTTTCATGTGTCATCAATATGTATGCTAGTTATTCTTGAGGAAAGCCGTGATGGGGGCACGTTCTTCAGTAGCCTTGGAATATCTTTCAAGCATCATAGAGAGATTAATCATAGTGTACTTGAAATCGTGAAATTTGTTCTTTAAGCTAATTTGTTCTTCGTGGTGGAAGATATTCCTGAATGAAGGATTGGGAAAACTCAACCCAAGTTATGAACCTGTAAGGAAGATGAAAATCTAGCCATAGCCTTGGTTTTCTTGATAAGGAAAAAGGGAAAAGGTGTGCTTCATTGCATTCTCATGACCCTTTGGAACTCCATAGATTTTCAGGAAAAGGTTTAACATGTTGGATGAAATTATCACTTATCTTCCAATGAATTTTTCTGCTTGTATCATTTGGATCATAGAAGTATGTAATTGAGCTGTTGTATCTACAAGTTTAGGTAATGAAGAAAAATGTAGCTTCAACCACATTCTCTGGTGCACTAATGGATTTTCTTTTAGCTGTTAGTGATACGATGTGCATGTCATATTAGTTTGGTTTTTTACAATGTGCTAATATTTTTATGATCATATGTAAAATAAATAAGAGGCACAATATCATAGTGGCAGGGTTTTAATTTTTTTTCCTTCGGCTCTTTCTTGTAGTGAGATAAGTTAGATGAATGGTGAATAGAAAACACTGATAATAATGTATAAGATTTTTCTTTCTCGCCAATTATATTATTTTTCAAGTGCGGCAAGTAGAGAAACTTTAAAGGGGATGAGAGGAAGGATCAAGAATCTCAACTCAGTGATATTATCATTAAAGGAAAAAAATGTATTGTACGTGATATATGCACACATAGAAAAACAAAACCTATTAAATCCTAATAGCTAACTATCAATAAGACCCAACACGTGCACAAGAGAGCTGCAATGGCTGGAGGCCACAACTCCAAGGACAAGTCTCTATAAGAACTACTTAAGTTCGATTGGCTGGGGCTTGCGAAGTCTTTGTTAGATAGAGAAATATTTGTTACTAATGAGCCTGAAAGAGAGGTAGCAAGAAGGGCATCAGAGTTATCATTCGAGAATATAAAGAATTGGACAATGAACATTCTCCATAAGTGAAGGTCATGTTTTATTGAACTTACAATTGTAATCAACCCATCCAACCCGTCCATTATCCATATCGTACACGAAAATCTTGTCTTTCAAAATGAGTTCTACACATCAGAACAATATATCAAGATGAAAATCAGATTCAGAACTTTAAGCAAAACATTCTTAACTAACCAGAAAGAATGTCTTGTAACATTTAATGTTTTGCATGGAAACTGATAAAGATGTTTGTAGTTTTATTATTCACTTGATTTTTTCTTAGTAAAAGATCGAAAGGTCATTTACCTCCTAAAATTGTTTGTCCATTATTCTTCAGAAATCCTAGACACCACATCCCAATACCCTCCTGTTGCAAGGAAGAATGGCCCTAGTGCTATAAGAATTTTAGAGGCATAATAACAAGTAAAAATTTAATGAATAAAAATCAATAACCAACAAGGTTTGTAATATAACAACTTACATCTGAAACAATAAGGTATTCTTGTGGTTTTATTACCAACGAAGCTCCACCCACAAAACTAAAACTCACTAGCGGAAATATATGAGATACACTGAATATGAAGGTAATGAAGTAAGAAAAATGAAGTGTCCAATACATGCATGAGAATCTTCATAACATAATTTGAAAATCAATCCATCAATGGTAGATCTATTATCAAACCTGGAACCGATTAAGTAACATTGACGTCCACTATGTATTCTCGGAGTTGCAGAGTGGGAGACAACACTGGTAACCTAAAAGTTCAACCAATAATGAGCTTTTTTGGGGTGAAAACAAAAAATTCTTAAGAAGTTACAAAAATATCTCACACAGTTTTGTTCTACTATAACATTTAGAATAATAAGCTTGTAGTTAAAATGCTATTTCACATGAAAAAATGAGTTTTTTTCGTTCTTTGATTATTGGCCTATTTTGTACTTCTTTCCCTATGCAAGTGATGAAACTAAGTTTGAAATCATCTAGTGCTCACTATCAAGAAATAAAGGGAAAATGTTGTTTCTTCTCTTATTTTTATGTTTTCTTCCTAGTAAAGTGGCACAATGAGTGATATAGTATGTTTCCTAACAAGTATCATCCATAAGATTTTAGTCTACCTTCATACAATATACAAATTGGCAAACTCTAGATTTGACTTTCTAGCATCCTAAATTTTTATGGGCGTAGTCATAAACAAGGAAATGCAAAAGATAAGTCTTAGTCATAGTGTTTTACGGTGGAAACTTTTGAAGGTCATACTTTGATTGTGCTTCTAACTTCTGAAAATTAAAACAGTTGTTACTCAGTTTACACTTTTTCAAACAATGTTCAAATGAGGATGTTTGATTCTTGGGGTATCTAAGTTAATTACCACTACTCTTATGAAGATTCCTTTGTAAAAACTCCAAGACTACAACTACTCCCACACCTATCGAGAATCCGTTATGGAATGAGAACTCTGCAAATAAGGGTTACACAGAAAAATAGTTGTTAGACAGGTGTGTCTATGTGATTATTCTTGTTCCCCACCTCTCTGTATTAGCTCTGGATACTTATTGCAAAAACATCCACGTAGTTAACGTGAAACCACTCCACCTTTGTCTACCAGATTTCTTCACTTTCTTCCAATAAGTTGGAGTCATCGACCATTATGCATCTCACGCTCTCAAATCTTCTTCGCGTGAAAAGCACATACACACAAATGAACTACAACACATCCAGGAGCCTAGGATGTGTACCTCAATTCGAACCATGCCATTGTTGTTTCATGGTTCCAACAACATCATGAATTTTAGCCCTAATGTTAGTCTTGATAAAAATAATATCGTTGCTTGACACCGCGATGTTGCAAGACTCATGATGATTTTTTTTATTTGATTTGAACCTTCAACATTGTTAACATTTGATGTCGTTGAACTCATGGTGTCTTTGGACTCACAATGACGTTGAACTCGTTGCATCGTTGATCACTGTGTTGTTGATGTTGGGCCAAAATATGTAACATTCCAAGACTCCTCTGGCCCAAATTTTTTTGTGCCTAATTAGATTGACCTATTTAAGCCAATCAAATGTTCCAAACTAAAAAATGTATTATCTAAGACAAAATGTTTTCTAGGTTTAATAACATAGGATTCAAATATTGAGATGTAACTAATTGTCTCGTATAGTTGAATGAAATTGGTAAATACCTTCTTCAACCTAGTTCACTCATCCCAACATTTAACAAGTCTAGGGAAAGAAAAGTTACTTACAGCATTGACAAGGGGATCGTAAGCTTTTTCGGTGATGTATACCATATTTGTTCCACTATCAACAATTGTCCCATGATGAGTTGACGTCACAAACACTACTGGATCAATGGGCAACATCTGCCCATTAACAACGATGCTTTGGAGATATAAGTTGCAGTGACGCCTGCCATTAGAAGAGGACGCCACCTTAATACTCATATTTCACCGTCAAATGAACAATAATAGTTTGCAATTGCACAATAAATTATATTATTTTCATGAAAAAGCTCACAAATATAATTGAAAAATAGTGTGCAGTCATGATGATAGAAGAAGAATCATAACCATAAAACATTTCACTAAAAGAGCCTAAGCAATTATATAGGAAGGAAACAACTTACTGTGATGGGACAAGGGGAGTATAGACTATCCCTGGCTCCAGAATCTGTCCAAGAATAAGAATACCACCTCCAGTTCCCTATCCTTTCAAGCAATGAGAGAAAACCCGGGGTGTTATTGATCTGGACGATAATTGCGACATGACAGATAGATCACCTCGACCAAATCCAAAGATTCCATCAAATTCATTGTAAGTATCCACCAAGGCACCCGACTGGTAGGTGCTGACACTATATCCAACATAACATTCTTCATAATTAGATTCCATAAAAAAGGAAACAAGAGTCGTGACTAGACAAGAACAACACAACTCATGGTTTCTTGTACATGATTACTCACAATCAATTAATTAATTTTTGTGTAGGGATCAAGAGTAACCAAATCAAGGTTTCATATATGGTACAATTTGTTTTATACCACTTATTTAGCCAATAGATTTAAGTGGAGCTGATAAACACTTATCGGTTATCCGGTTAACTGAAAAACCAAACAGAGAATGTTGGTTAATCGGATAACTGATAACTATTAAATAGATGTTGTTTGCGATGTCGGTTGAAGCATTGATGGCTATCAGTGACTAACTAATAAAACACCATTGCACTACAAGCAACTACCCACCCGACTAGCCACACCCACAACATCTACCTCCTCAATCATGAGTCACGACCTTCCTGTCTCAACATTGCATCCTACTAACCTCCTACCATTTTTCCCTAATCCCAAACCATACACACAATTGAAAAACCCGAATCCCAAGCCTCTCATCACCCCTTTGTTAGCCTCCCATGCATCTCATTAGTTGTTGCCTCATCGTCTGTCGTACTCATCCTCTTATACTCCTAGTCCTAGAAACCATCTTGTCTCCTCTTACACGTAATCGACCTTATATCATCTCTTAACTCATAAACAGAACCTTAAATCATAAATTAAGTCCCCACTTCCAAGACATGAGTGGGGTTAGATTCTTGGGATGGGAAGTACTAGCAGTTATATTGTGTTGCTCACATCATTAACTTGATTGTGACTTATGGGTTGAAGGAAGTTTGAATTTCTGTTGTATGGTTTTGAGATATAGTGAAATAGATGAATTACTTTCCATAAAGGCTTGAAAGATTCAAGGATGTTGCTATGTATATGGAGATCGATACATAGAAACTTATCGCTATGGATGTTTCCAAAGAGGTGGAACTCCACATTAATGATGTTGGGGTCTTAATAGAGGCTTGAGAAGGTGTTTTGTTTAATATATAGACTAGATGAAAAAAGGTTCGAAGAGGGGTTTGCCAACATAAAAGATTGGAGTAGTGTCAGAAGGTTGATGAAATATTCGAAGTTCTTTCGTGATTTGGTTGCCTATGATCTGGTATATTGGCTAATACTACAAGTTTTATTGTTATGATTTTATGCACTTACTTACTCACATAATGTCTAAATTAATTTAGATTCTTTCTAGGAATATCATATGTGATGCCACATCTCTTACTCACGTAGCTTGTAGACATTTACTAGGTCATAAGAATATCGAATGAGGATGCATATAAAGAGATACAATGTATAGCAGTAAGAACTATGGTAAAGGTAGCGACATACTGGTTTGAGGTAGATATTGAAGAGAATATAAAGATGAATAATGTGATTCCCCCGGCATGTATGTTAGATCCTATACACAAATTGGGGGTATGTGTCTTGGATTTTGAAGCAGATGTATGGAGAAGAGAATGGGGGAATTTGATTGGTGATATTAAAGATGAGATGACTACACTATTTCAAATTGCCTCTCCCCTTAAGTAAACTACTTATGGGAGTAGTAGTAATACCGGTGTAGGAGCTATTGCCACTAGTGGAAGTTTGAGTAGTGGTATAGTTATAAGAGAAAACTTTACCTCTCAACTCAAGACCAAGAGTAAAGAGGATTTGTGTTCTTCAGAGTTTTACATCTATCTAAGGGATGCTGATAATGCTATTATTGAAGATGATGACAATGACAAGTTCGAGATCCTCAAATGGTGGTTCCAAAAAAGTATTAGATATCGCATGCTTTCTCTATTCTAATTTCTTTTGTCGCCTCCGAGTCTACTTTCAACATGGGAGGTTGGGTTTTATCTACATTAAGGTCATGTTTGACCCCTAAAATTGTGGAGGCATTAATTTGTGTAGAAGATCATATACGGTTTCTCTATTACAATGGGTTCATTATGCTTTAATTTCCATATTTGACATTTACCAATCACAATTGATGAATGATAATTTGCTAATTAACACTTCCGTTAATTGTTGGATTTTCATGTAGTTTATAATACTTTACAAGCTCTAATGGATAGTCAATATGAGAGTGACAATGTGGCCTAAGCCTAAACTTTCACATTAAACCCACCCAACGATTTACGTTGGTGGTGTGGATTACACTTCTGATGTCAATCCTATTTAGGAGAATGAAGATCCAATGTCGATTTTGAACATGAAAATTTGGAGTGATTTAAGAATGGTTATAGTTTAGGTATTTGATTTGGGTTAGGTAGTTGAACGTTTGGACTTCTTGATGTGTATTGTAAACTTATAGTTTATGTGTTGGCTTTAGCTTTACCCTTTGGTATTATGAACCTCTCATTTATGTTTGGACTTGGATGATTAGTGTTTGGTGGTGTAGTGTTTATTTTTTGAACTTGGAATCTTTATTTTTGTTTAATATCATATACATAATAGTTGGCCAGGACTCAGGATGCAACATCATTTGAAGGTCTGGACTATAACATCTGTTGGGCGACTGAAAGTAGCCAGAAATTTGTTATTTTTTGGTTTTTGTTCGTTTTTTAACCATCTATAACTACTTGTGCTTAGTGAAATTGTTATCTATAATTCAAACTTTCAATAAAGATGGTTATATGCAGATTATGCGGGTCAATGTCCTTTATATACTCAAGTTTTTCATTGATTGTTAGAATTAACCTAACGATTGTGTGGCGCGCTTACGTGTCTTCTCGTGTAAATGACACGCCATCATTCTACTAAATATGGATGTTTTAGTGTATTATAGTTGAACAATAAATTGTAAATTCAACCAACATATACTACTCTAGTCTCTAGTGGAGAGGCACTATAACTTACCCAAAGACAACAAGTGCCGAGGAGGAGGCGACCATTGAGTCCGGTGAGATGGAACTCAAATAAAACTTGTCTGTCATATAAAGGCCCGATGTTCCACTCCCATCTGCATATTGGATTGTGTATGAGCATTGATGAGAGACACAATGAGTTGCGGCGGTTCTGGCAACTGCTGCACAAAACTGATTCGAACAGGAAAGCGACCCAGCAGTGGATGAGGCTGCCGATTCAAAGAAATTAAGCGGCATCTGCATGCAACATACCAAATAAGCACAAGGAAAAGATTAAAAAACAAGTGCAGATGGTATTGTCATTCATTCCGAGGTTGAAAGAAATTACAAGCAAAGCTCACCCCGAGACGATTATAGCGTGGACAGTTAGCACAAGCATTCGACTTAACCCACAACACCTCACTCCCGGTATCAATCAGCACCTTGAACTCTTTAGGTGGGAATCCCAGCTTAATTGGTGCCAAATAAACACTGGCGAAATCAAAAGTTGGAGACAGAAGTCAATGGCTATAATTATATAATACTGATTGAACACAAAAGAATGCTAAAGTGCACCAGAATATATATAATATAAACTCAATAGGGCATACGGTAGGTTAGCGTACGCGTGGACATACGCTAGCCTTACGTCAGGCGTATATGTATAAAATATTAGCGAAGGTACCCGGCGGATCCTTGCAGGGAGAAGCTGACAACGCCGCCAACAGAGCCGTCAAATAGGCGGGCGTGTCTGGCTCGGTCCCAGGCTGCGAGTTGCTCCATAGCAAACGGAGAGTTCAAAGGAGGTCTCCTCTCCAAATGGAGAAGGTTGGCGCTGCATACTGCTGAAACGGCAGCCAACGTGATCAGCAACACTGGACTGGTAACAGACATTTTGAAACGAGCTAAAGAGACAGGGGAGAAACAGAGGATGCTGCAGTGCAGAGAAAGAACCCAGCAACTGTGGCGTTGGAGGATCAGGAGGCGGATAGAGGGAGAGGGCATGTGTTTGATGAGCTTTGTAGAATGAGGGGTGGGTGGCAAGTGGGATGGAATGGAAGAAGGAGCATTTTGGGCCATGCTTGAAGCTAATCAGGAGATTTTATTTGTGGAAATATGGAATCTGCTTTGGGAGTTGTCAATTGCTAAATAAGATGTTTACGTAGTGGAGAGGAGAGTAACTAAAGAGACGCAATTTTATGTGTATTATTAGGAAGTAATCAATATGCTGTTCCTTTTACTCTAAAGAAACGACCCACACAATTAGCCATATTGTCACATAAGTAGAACTGGCAACAAGCTCAATCGAGGATTGAACTCCACTTGGATAAACTCTACCCTTTACATCTTACAACATAACATATTAACAATGCGATGCTAAATTTCATATCGCTTCCATCAAAAGCAATTTCATGCCCACCCTTCATGTCCAGGAACCCAAATCTCCTCCCCGCTTTAAGCATTCTGAATGTATATTTGCCGGCATTGAAACAAGAGGGGACCCAAATGAGAGAATTGGGCTGTGAATACAGGGGAAGAGGAGTCGGGATTGAATCATAGATTACGATAGAAATTGGAACCGGGAAGGGAGAGATTGTAGTAAGGGAAGTACAAGGATGAGATTCGGAGGTTGACTTGAGGTTCTTCTGCCTCTTGTACAATGAACTGCCGGATCCAATCCGTTGGCAGCGACGAGGAAGGAAACCATCTAGACTTTAGCCCACTGAAAGCGGCAGTAATAGGCCGGCCCAAATCTAAACTCAACTCAACCAAAAAATCCAGGTCGAAGGGATAACGGTCCAAGTCCCAGCTCCGTTCCCCATTCTCCAACAAACACGAAGGGGATGATAACTCGATAATCGGAGACGGGCTAAGTTGAGAATTAGGGTTGAAATCTGAGGTAGATGGGAGCAGGTAAGTAGAAGGAGTGGAAAGAGTGGCTAAGTTCTCGCAGATTGGGTAGTATGGCTACGCATGCATGTAGAAATCCAAGACAAAGAAGGTGAGACTGAGGCGTCACGACTCTTACCATTCCCACCACCAAGTTTGAAATTTCCGCCGCTCGGACTGTCACCTACACTCGGCGGCGGAGAAACTATGTCAACCAAGAACCGTTGACCACCGAACACCACCGGAATCTTTTTAGAGATAGAGAAAGAAGATCTGATTCTGATTCGGATGAAAGGAAAGCACCAGGAGTTCCAATCAATATCAACCAATGTTCCACAAAAATTACCAATAGCCTTGATGAGATCAATACTCTTTAGATGGAGAGGAATGTTGTAGACCAGTACCCAAACGTCATCATGCCTTTCAAGAACTTCTGTTTCCTTCCAAGGAGAAATGTCGACTGTGAAATTACCATAAGACGACTGATTAAAGCTTTTGATACGTAAGGCTTCCTGAAAGCTAGGACAGATCAAGAGCCAGCTGCCATTAGCACGATCTTCCAACGCAAAGTTATCATTAACAGCCCAAAACTTTTTCATCCAATGGCGAAAGGATAACACTACTGGAGAAGGTTTCCTCCTTGCGGGGGATGAACCGAAAGACAAATGTCCTTCCCAGAAGATCTCGACGCTCTGGAACACCTTCCTCACTAACATCAATGAATCTGTCACCACCATGATTCTTGACAGAACAATGTCCAGCCGCATAGAACCCGCCGCCTTTAACAACCTCAGCATAGGTTCTATCAGACTTAACCGGGGGAGGAGGAGGAGTACGCTGGTCCGCCATGTTGAGATATCGAAGATCAAGTTAGGAGATTGCCAGATCATAAATCAAGGGGGAGCAGATCAATCAATCAAGATCACGTTCGCCAGCTGCTCAACTTACCTTTTCTGCATCAAATTCAAACTACAACGGCTCCTTGAAAAACTATTTAAAGAAAAGCCGGGCAAAGGCTTGGTACTGAAGAAAACAGGGATTCCTTTGTGGAAAAGGACAAGGGATTGGGTTTGGGAATCAGTGGCTTTGAATCAAGCTGATGAATAGGTTCAGCTTGATCAAAGGGTGTATAGAATTCCTGCGAGAATTCTGGTCCAGCTTTGTGACATTTTGATTTTGTCACCAGAGTCTGTATTTCCATTGTTTTGATTTTTTGTTGCTTGCGTCATATAAAGAAAATCAAAGTGTCTCTCAGGATAGTGGTACTCACCTGACGAGGAGTAGCCCTGTGGTGAACCTCGTTAAAAATCCGTTGTGTACTTTACTTTCTGCAACTCCCTTCCTCCTCCCTTCACTCTCTGTTCTGTTTCTCTCTGGCTCGACAGAGCCCTGGCTTGGTGAAGAAGACGATAGACTTAGTTCCTTCTTCTCTGAGCCTGGGCCAAGACTAGATCAGGTTCTGGATCAGTCTTCTTGATTCTTGGGCTTGATTTAGTAAAGCCCACTCGAGCAAAGTCATGTCCATTAACATAAGCAAGTTGGGGTTTTGACCGAAAGGTTCCAACCGGTTTGGTCACTAAAATTGACTCTCAAGTCAAAATCCCTAATTGCCTGTTCATTTCCTTCAATCGACATTTTCTCCTTCACCAGATCATTCTCTCTTTACAAGTGGTATCAGAGCAGGTCCTTGATCGGAGCTTGCTACTTCCAAGGGAAGATCCAGCGTGATGGCCTCCACCAATTTCGGTCACGCTTCGTACAATCATCCGCCAGTCTTCACGGGATCAAACTACACCGCCTGGAAAAAGAAAATAAAGACCTTTCTCTGGGGAGTTGACGAAGAACTGTGGACCGTTGTGCGCGATGGACCTCTCGAGATGGATGCAGATCAACAAAACTTCTGGTCAGCTGCTCAAAAGAAGAGTGCTCAGCTGAATCAAAGGGCGATGCACATCCTGCAAACAGCCATGTCACCCGAAGAGGCAGATAAGGTGGAACATTGCGAAACTGCTCAAGGGATCTGGAGCTCGTTGGAAAGCACCTACGAAGGCTCATCAAATATCAAGGAAACCATAATCGATCTTCTGGTCCACGAGTATGAATGTTTCGACATGGCTCCAGGTGAGGGAATTCATGAAATGTATTCTCGATTTACTCTTTTGATTAACAAACTGAAAGGATTAGGAAAAACCTATCTTGCTAAAGACCTCAATAGAAAAATCCTAAGATCCCTTCCCAAGGAATGGCTTCCCAAGAGGACAGCCATAGAAGAAGCTCGAAACTTGAACACTTTGTCTATAGATGAACTAGTTGGATCCCTGCTCAGTCATGAACATGTTCTTAAACAGGTAAATAAAGATGATGAGAAACGAAAAAAATCCCTAGCGTTCAAGTCTTGGATAGTTGAATATGAATCTGATTCTGAATTAGGAGAAGAGTTTGGTAGGGAATTCGCTCTAGTTAGTAACAAATTTCATAGAATGCTAAAGTACAAACAAGAGCAAAAACAAAAAGGCAATGATAGGAATTCCTTTAATCGGTCTAACCCTTTTGACAAAGTCAGAAGCTTTCCTCAAAATAGGTTGCGTGTTCCGCGGACCAGACCTTTTGAATCAGGTAGTCAAGAAAAAGAAGCTCAAGACTGCTACAAGTGTGGAAGGCCAGGTCATATCAGAGCTAACTGCCCACTCACCTTAAAGGCAAAAGAAAGAGTAATGAAGGCCTCCACTTGGAGTGACTATGAATCAGAGGAAGATAAAGATCAGGGGGATGAAGAAGCCTTCATGGCCTTCAATGAACTGCATGATTCAGAACTGGACTTCAAGACAGGTCAGAGTTTTTCTCCCTCTGCAGCTGATTCAAAATGGTACCTTGACAGTGGATGTTCTCATCACATGTCTGGTAAGAAATATCTCTTCAGCTCTTTAACTATGAAACGTGGGGAAAAATTTACCTTTGGGGATGATAGTCAGGGAGAAATTATCGGTTCTGCATGCATAGGAAATAGCTCCTTAACTGTGAAAAATAATGTTCTTCTGGTAGATGGATTAAAACATAATCTTCTTTCCATAAGCCAACTCTGCAGCAATGGAAATTGAGTTATGTTTGAAAATGATAAATGCTCTGTGGAACAGATTAATGAAAATAAGATCATTTTGATAGGAAAAAGAGTCAATAACCTGTATGTTGTTGACTTGACTGACTCAAGCATGTTTAATGCTAAATGCCTTCAAGTTTCATCTCAATCATCTGAATTCATGTGCCATAAAAGACTAGGACACATTAGTTTGTCGAAATTGTCTACTCTATCTAAATTTAATTTAGCTAGAGGATTACCAAAGCTAAAAGATAAAACAGAATTCTTCTGTAACGCCTGTGCTGCTGGAAAACACAAAAGAAAAAGTTTTAAACCAAAACCTGATATCACTACCACTGAAACTTTCGAATTAATTCACATGGACCTGTTTGGTCCATGTAATGTAACTAGCCTAGGAGGTAAAAACTATGTATTTGTCCTGGTTGATGATTTCTCTAGGTATACCTGGTTATTTTTCTTAGCTCACAAGGATGAGACTTTTGAGAAATTTCGTTCATTTGTCACTAGGCATAAACAATCCCTGAAAAACATAAGAAGTGACAATGGGGGAGAATTCATTTCTGATGAATTTGCTGACTTTTGTGACAAGATTGGAATTGTCCATACTTTTTCTGCTCCTCGCTCACCTCAACAGAATGGGGTTGTTGAGCGTAAAAATAGAACTCAGATAGAATGTGCTAGAACTATGCTTTTAGATTATCATCTAACTAAATTCTTTTGGGATGAATCAGTAAATATTGCATGCTATGTTATAAATCGAGTTCTGATTAGAAAACAGTTAAACAAAACTCCCTAT